GCAACAGGTAAGGTCTGGCCCACCACCCTCTCACTGCCTGCAGCCCTTTGAAGCACCTGCTCTTGGTCATGGGTTGAGTCATGATAAATTGACTGCCACCCAAACCAAGCTGAGTAGAAACCCACAGGAAGACTCTATTCTCTGTTTTTAGCACAGAAGTCATGCCAGGTTGAGTGGGACGGTGACTTCCGCTTGCTTTGCCTGACTGACAGCCCTGAGTTCCCTCTGGCTACCACCTTGTATTAAGAGCTGGGCACACAAACATGACACATTTCTGCCAACCCAGATCAGGGCTTCTCAACCTTGGCACTACTGATGTTTAGGTCCCAATAATTCTTTGTCGTGGGGCTGTTCTGGGCATCACAGGACTTTGGGCAGCGTCCCTGTCCTTGGCCAACTGGATGCCAAGAGGGACTCCCTGGTTGTGACAACCAGAGATGTCTCCAGAAATTGCCTCCATTCCCTGAGGGATAAAACCATCTCCAGCTGATAACCTCTGGCCCAGGCTTTGGGTCTCCTCCTACCTGGATTCCAGTTAGTGTCTCAACCCCAGTGGAGAGGAGGTCACACACCCTGCTCTGAAATGCATCCCAGGGAATGGCAAACATAAACCCTCTTTCTTTTGACCCAGTGGTTCTCAGCCCTGACAACTGGCTCTCAAAAACCAAAACAGCAGGTTGTAGCGTTTGCCAGTTTCCATGGTGTAAGTACTCCCTTGTGGCTGACTTCCAGCTACCTGGAAGTCTAACAACCAGCTTGCGGTATCACCATCCATGTACCAAGCTGTGATCCAACCAGAATGCGCTGGCTCCTCCACAATGACTGCACATTAGCATCGTCTGGGGAACTTGGAGAAAATCCTCATACCAGAGCCCTCAGCCCAGAGATTCTGATTTAATTAGCCTGAGATGGGCACCAGCCTCACGTGTGGTTTGTGGGGGCGGTTTATGTCTGTGTTTAAAGCCCATCCAGATAATTCGAATATGCAGCCAGTATCATGAGTGCTAAGCTACAGTGAATGTTCTCAAACCTGGGAGCCCAGCAGAATCTCCTGAGAAGTTTATGACAGATGCAGCTTTTGGGGCTTTACCTGGGGCTTCCTGATCCAGGGAGGCTAGGTGAGCTCAAGAACTGGCCCATCTTACTTGGAGAAACCCAGAACTGGAGGTGCGGGTGAGCTGACGTAGAGAAGATGGTTCTGGCTGTCGTCCGGAATGGGTCTCCACTCTGCAAACTCATGAGTCTGGGGTTTTCGGACCCCTCCCATGTTGCCCCTTTGTGGTGATGTGCTTTTCTGAACCGCAAGCTTATCAGGAGAATACCATGCCTGCATAGTCAACAGGAAAAAATTTACAAGGTTTGGAGAACATTCATTGTCAGACAGCATCAAAAGAGTTGCAGAGTCAGGGTGGCTGGGACCCTCCCCAAGCACAGAGAAGGCAGGGGTCCATCTACACAAAGACTGTTAGACAAGACAAGAAATATAACTCACCCCACCTGCAACCGAGAGGATACCCACGCCATGTCTCCTAGAAGCCATCCCACCACCCAGCACATCAGTTTCCTGTCCATGGCACTTTTACAGAAATTATATTTACTGGGCTTTTATTCTGATTTTAAAAGGTATTTGTGTTCATTGTAAGTAAGTCAGGAAAATAACAACAAAAACAAAGTACAAAGAAGAGAATAAGTGTCCCAGAATCTCCTTAATTTCAGTAGCAATTTGATGTAGTTTCTTCTAAACTTTGTTCTGTGCACCAATGAGGCTAATCCTGCTAAGGCGATCTTGTGTGTTTCTGTTTTCACTTAAGATTTTCCAAGATCAATAACTATTCCTCAGAAACTTCATTTCCGGTGGTTGCATAATACTCTGACATTAGGCCACACAAAAATATATTTGGCTATTCCTTTGACATCTGCTGGCTTATTTCCAGTTTTTCCCAATTATAAACAATTGAAATAACACGTGGGTCTGACTTTCTGACTTTTTGCTTGGGAGGTACAAGAATCAAGGGATATGAATTTATAAGCCTTTCTGGAAAGATTGATTTATACTTTTTTTGTGAACATGATCACCATCGTTGAGGTTTATTCTATTAAAAAAACCTGAAAAATGACGTCTCCTTTCAGTCTGCACTTCTTTTTTTTTATGGCGGTACTGGAGATTGAACCCAGGACCTCGTGCATGCTAGTCACGTATTCTACCACTGAGCTCTACACACCCCACCAAGTCTGCATGTCTTTGATGACTGATGTCTGAAGATTTTTTCTGGTGCCTTTGAAGCCACTAGTCTTTTTTCTGTGTCCATGTATTCATATCTCTGCCTTCAACTCATATCTTAAACATGTGAAAATAGTCTTGAAGGAGTTCAGATTGAATCTGTAATCATATTTGCCTCTGAAAAGCATCTTCTTTCTCTCCATCAGGTACCAGTGCCCAGCAGGCTGCCTGCACAACAAGGCAAAGATCTTTGGAACGCTCTTTTATGAAAGCGTAAGTCTGGCCAGCGTTTCTTTAGAGGGCTTGTGTGGACTCCTGTCTGTGTGTTAAAAGAAGATTGGTAGTTGTTACATGAAAAGATTTTCTTTCAGCTCCTTGGTCAAACCCCCCTTTTGTGGAGCTGATCTGTGTGGGATTCTGGGCTCACAGACTTGTGAAGCCACTTAGGGGAACAGGGGCTGACCCTCAAGTGGGCCAGTCTCCGTTTTAGACCGAGCGTTAATGTGCTCCAGTGGGTGGGGAGAAAGGGCTGTTTGTCACCGTTCTTAGATTCTAAAGCAACTCGGATGAGTTTTTAAAGATAAGCAATCCTGGGAACAAAGACATGTTATAGAGAGAGGTTGGAGTCAGAAGTGGGGTGAGCCTTGGCCCGACTTTTTGGCTTTTTGTGGTTTGAGGACAAACATATTGGGTGTTTCTGAAAGAAACCACTGACAAAGGTGAATTCAGACATGCTCTCGGCCTTGCCCTCCCCCCGCAGGCGTCCAGCATCTGCCGAGCCGCCATCCACTATGGGGTCCTGGATGACAAGGGAGGCCTGGTGGACGTCACCAGGAACGGGAAGGTCCCCTTTTTTGTCAAGTCCGAGAGGAACGGCGTGCAGTCTGTGAGGTAATTATTCCGTGATCCGGGTTCCTGAAAACGTCTGTTCTGGTTCTGAGAGTGTTGTCGAAACTTTGGAAAGTATTGAACGATATAAAGAAGCAGGGAAACAATGAAGGTGACCTTAATCCCATCACTCAGAAAGTGCCCCATAGGCTACGTAGCATATTTCATCCCAGTGGGTTTCTGTGTGTGTGCGTGTATGTCTATGTGTATCTCTGTGTTTCTGTGTGTATGTCTGTGTATGTATGTCTGTGTGTGTGTGTTTGTGTGGTTGAGTTTTTTTCTCACTTCCTTGTCTCTGAGAACTCTTCAGACTCTTTAGTAACAGTGGATGATATCTATGAATCTAGTCTAATTGTTGATTTGCACTTTTTCACACTTCCTGAGAATGTGGCTTTTCATTTTAAAAATATGCTTACTTTTTTTTTTGCAAGATTATACTTTTCATGAAAGGTAGATGGATGTGGGGCAGACCATCCTCCCATTCTGACTTTTTGAGGAGCATTGGTGGGGGTGGTCCATGAAGAGCAGCAGGAGGCTGTGTCTTGATCTGTCCGTGGAATTTGAGGCAGAAGGGGACCAGGTGCCTGTGGAATCCAGCGGGGGCTCTGGGGTAAAACATACCTGGGTCTGCCTGCTCCCTGTGCTTGACCTGGGCTGGTTTCTTCATTCCTTCTGGGTGGCAACACCCTCATTTATAAACAAGGGTCACAGTAGGTCCCAGGGCTGACACTCAGCTACCCCACCATGGGGTGGTATGTTGTGGACCCCTGTTGACTCAGCGCTCATCCTGGGCTCTGTGACAAGGCAGGCGCCCAACAGATGTTCCTGTGATGGTCACAAGGGAACATGTCCCGTCCTAATTGTGAAGCCACACAGAACATTTCAAAAACTATGTGAGTCATTCTGCTTGGAAAGATCTGGTTCTTCAGGCGATGTTGCAATATTCCTTCTTCTGTCTTAGCTGGGGATTTGGTGTGTGTGGGGGTTATGTAAACAAAAAAAGAGCAAGGACGTTTAAACGAAAGCAAAGAAATTATTCACGGAAATGTGGGTTGGGTGACCTCAACACCAGTCTTGACTAAGCTCAGCACAGGGACTGATGGAGCTGTAGGCTTGGCCACAGGTTCAGATTCTGTGTTGCCTGGGACACTTGTCCTGAAGCCACTTTTGGTCCCTTCCAGTGGCCAACTTTGCATCCGGAGTGGGGTTCTTCACCGTTTAGAATTCAAAGCCTAAATGCAAAGCAAATTAAAGCTTTATTTTCAGTGACCTTTAATTGAAATGTGGTATTTTCTTCCCAATGGATATGCCTCAAACCTGAGTAGCACTTGTAGGGCTGGCAACTTTCTGTGGTGGAAATCCACTTGCCAGAAACATGTTGAAACAGTCTCTGAAACAGTCTCTGCTGTCATGACCCCGACATGACAGTAGTTAGAAGACCTGCCTCTCAATTCTATTTTTAATATGTTAATAGAGGCACAGCTGTGATTCTAACAAATTTGTTTTAATACTCTGATAATGATATTAATGATAACCCAATCTTTTCAATTTATCATATGCATTTAAAAAAACATTATTCTGAGATGGTGTGCAGAGGCTTCTACAGACTGCTGGAGGGGTCCTTGGCACAGAGAAGGCTAACAAGCCCTGCTCTAGAATGTTCTTATTTTAGTTCCTGCTCTAGAATGCCCCAAGGGCTTTGGGACTGATGGGAAACAAGTAGGAAAATGTGAAGTTGAGCGTGTAAATAAAATTAGTGCAAGAGCAAGCATGTACTTTTAGAAGCAATTCTGTTTGCATTCACTTAATGTTTCCTTTTACAGCAAATACAAGTCTTCCAGCTCATTTACAGTGTCAAAAGTAAAAGGTAAGCTGGCTAGTCTTTGTTTATACGACCGCAGGACACAGATTATCTTGGGTTTCCCTGCAGATTTCATTCCCCTTAGTCATTGACTTAATGTTTACCATGCCTGCTAACACTGCTGTTCTCAGCATTGTAAAGACTTTTTAAAAGGTTCCCAAGGAGGCTGATTCTCTAACTAGTTTCTAAGCATATCTGAACCTGGCATCAGCCCTATATTACTAAACCCCAAACACATATCTGGGTTCCCAGCCAAATGTCACAGAAATAGTAATGCCTTGGTCTAGAGTAGCTTATAGGTTGCACAGACAGTGTCAGATTCTATTGACTGATAGTGGCTACTTGGGAGCATTGTGTTGAGGAGGATTCTGAGGCCTCCTTCAGGGCTCAGCAGAAGACAGAGCTTGATTGATTAGTAATGTCTGCCACGGTCCAGAAGGGGAAATATAGGGAGGTATATGGTCAATATTTGCCATCTCTGGCCCAGTTCTTTTGTTGCCTGTGGTACGTTGATTTGTCTGGGTGAGATGCACCCATTGAAGTGCATGCTATAACCTGAAGTGGAGGTCTGCATTATAGCCCCCCAGCCTGGGCACAAGACTGGAATAGTCTTAGGCGGGCAGAGATGCAGGAACACCCTGCCCAGCATCCTCCCCTGGAACCTTGCCCACTGACTCTTTCTTCCCTGGGATGACAATTCTTGTCATTTGCCTTGGATGCAAGAATATATGGTTAGACATCATTTTTATTAAAAACAGTTAGCAGCTTTTTTTCCTTATCACAAGAGTAATGCCTATTTTTTCTAGATAATTTAAAAAAGAGAGAATCATTTTTAAAAAAAAGACTTAAATTCCACCACTGAGAGATAACCACTGTGAATATTTTGGTGGATATGTGTAAATTTCTTTTCTCTAAATATTAAGAGTATATACATTGGTATGCTTTAAAAAATTGAAGTGGAATTGGTAACTTGTTTTTCTTTTTTTTTTAAATAATAATGTATCAAGAAGATACTTCTGTACCTTTAAGTGGACTTCTAAACCTAATTTTAATGATATTCCGGCATTCTATTGTATAGCAGTCCCTTGGTGTAGTAAACCAGTCCCCTTGTTGGATTGCTGGTCCATCCCTGGCCCATCCAAGTGATAGTGTGGGCCAGGGTTTGGCAAACTACCACCCTCAAGGCCAAACCCTGCCTGCCATCTGTTTTTGTAAATAAAGTTTTGTTGGCACCCAGCCATGCTCATTCTTTTCTGCATCGTGTATGGCTGGTTTCTGCTACAACAGCAGAGTTGAGTGGTTATAACACAGACCATAGGGCCCACAGGGCTGGGAATATTTACTCTCTGGCTCTTTAAGAAAGAGTTTGCTGAGCCCTGGAATAGAGGCTGGTCAGTATTAGGAGCACTTTCCTATATCTTTGTTAAAACACAACATGTGGCCTGGAAGGAGTCACCTGCCCCTCGGCAGGGATGTGAGCAGAGAGCTCTAGGGTGGAAATTGGAACCCTGGGCCCGCACCCATGTCCTGTGTGGTCTCAGGGGTTCACTTAGCTTCTCTGGACCTCCGTTTCCTCATCTGTATAATTAGAATAATACCTGCTACAAGGATCCAGCATGAGAAAAGTAGAGGGAGGGGCTTCAAAATACGAAAACCTTGTGCAAATGCGAAGTTGGCTGGTCCCACAGAGAAACTTTTGAGGGTGATGACACCCTTGATCTGTAAACATACTTTGGCCTTGAATTTTGTCTTACCCCTCGAGTGGCCCTAGGGGAGGTGCCTGGAGCACTGGGCCTTGGCACATGCTGGGTCCTCATCCCAGCTCTTATCTCAGTTTGGGGGCCCAGGGAGCCCTGGGACCTGGTTGTCCAGCAGCCCATTTCACAGGCTGGTAGCCCAAGGCCCAAGCCTGCTGGCCACCTGACCCTTTCCCAACATATTCCCATTCACAGTGCAGGACCTGGACTGCTACACCACGGTTGCCCAACTCTGCCCATTTGAGAAGCTGGGGACCCACTGCCCAAGGTAAGGCTCTCTGGGATCTGGTTTTGCAAACACTGGGCTGAGAGGAGAAGGCACCATGCTGGATTGGGGCTCAACACGCCAAGCACAGCTGAGTTCTCCACGGGGCCCTTGTGTGGCACATCTGGGAAATCAGCTGATTCGTGCTCAGAGTCAGGAATCCTCAACCTCTCCCTAAGGCTGCTGGTTCTCAACTCTGGCTGAGCATTGGAGTGGCCAGAGGGACATTAAAAGAACAAATCCTCAGCAGGGATTATATAATGGAATACTAATCAGCCATTAAAAATGCAATAATGCCATTGGCAACAACATGGATAGACCTAGAGATTATCATACTAAGTGAAGAAACTTAGAAAGAGAAAGAAAAATACCATAGGGAACTACATTGAATGTCTTGTAATAACCTATAATGAAAAAGAATATGAAAAATTATACATATGTATAACTGAATCACTAAGCTATACACCAGAAACTAACACAACATCTTAAATCAACTAAACTTTATTCTTTAAAAAACCCACCCATTATAAATACACATTTTGATGTGTTTTAACAAATGTGCACAGTCGTGTGGCCACCACCACAATCCAGGTAGAGAATGTTTTCATCACCCCAGAAAGTTCCCTTGTAGTCGGTCCTCTCCCTCCACCTCCCACCCATATCCCTGCCAATCGCTGTTGTACTTTCTGTCACTATAATTGTGCCTTTTCTGGAATTTCACATAAATGGAGCCATCACCACGTGTAGACATCTGTGTCTGGCTTCTTTCACTCTGCACAGTGCTTTGCAATTCATCTGTGTTGTTGAGAGCATTGGTGATTTGTTTATCCTTTCATGTTGCCAAGTGGCATTCCATTCCGTGGAGGGACCACAGTTTGTTCGCCTGAGGAGTAGGTTTTACGTGCATCTGCCTAAACCTTAATAGGCTGATTTTTGGAGGAAGATGCATCGTAACAAAAGAAAGGGTGTCTCTGAAGTACCTGTTAGATCCTCTCAGAAGCTGGGTGATGTCGCGTCCTGTGAGCTCTTATCCTAGGCCTGGAGGCCTGTGGATTCTTGAAGGAAAAGAGTGACCTTAAAACTAACAGGTGGAGGCCCTCGTGTGGGAGCAGGGAAGAGCCCCCGCAGGGTGCCGGTGAGGGAGCGGGGACTGGATGGGGTCCCTGACTTCCCCTTTTCCTACTCACGTTCCCCCAGGCCTTTCTCACTGGCTCACACTGCCGTCCCCACCCCTACGTCAAACCCCAACCTTGAATGTTCGAGGGAAAAAAAAACTTTAATATTTTCCCAAATGTTAAAGAGAAACAGAAGGAAATCATTTCAGAAAATACAAACAAAAAGAAAAACTTGACATACTACAAATAACCAAAATATGTTTCTGATCTGCCATTCTGAAAGCAGTAGGAAAGAAAGAATGTTCTCACCCAAATTATTATTATTTTTTTCCCTCTTTAAATCTCAGACACATCCTTGTTCTCTCTGGCCACCCTGGCCCCTCCCCGCACAGGACCCTTTCAACCTCTTGGTTGCTTTGCCTGCTTTCCTCCCCTCCCAGAATCCTTTCTGTCTTGGGGCCAGATGGCTTCGGCCACCATTTTGGTTTCTTGGTCCCTGGGCTCCAGCCCATTGTGTACTGTTCCAGATAAAGACACAAAGACCTTTTCTTAAGTACAGCCCGCGCTCTTTCCTGGTGTGAGAGATTCCAGTTTGAGGTGCTTGCTTCATCCCTTGCGGCAGGGATGTGGTGACTGACACAGCGGGGAGCTAACCCGTCCCCCTCAGGTTATCAGCGCCCCCTCCCTGGAATATTCTGTGACTCACTGAGGTGAGGGCCCTCCACCCTTTCCTCCTCCACACAGGGACGCAGTGTTTAGAGAAGTCTATTGATTATAATCTCCATAATGTACCCACAGGATGAACTGGCTCACAACCAAGAATGGGAGGTACAGCCCCTGACGATCCCAAACTCCGCTCTCTTAGATTTTTATTTCCTTTTGCTTGTTGTTTGTGCATGTCTTTTCATTTGGAGTTTTTTAATTCTATATGTCCTTTTAAGAAAAGGAAAAATATTGTGGTCGCTGTTAGGGTGGGAGAGGTGTATTTTTTTTTCTTAAAGAGTAAACTGTGTGGTAGTTACCTTTCATCTAAGTACTTAAATCTTGATGTTCAAATTAAGAGGGCCAGCTGCTTTTCTCAAGAAGTTTTGTTTTCTGCTGATTATAGCCATCACCTAAACGCTTCTTGTTTTCCAGAGTTCGTTGTCCGGCGCACTGCAAAGATGAGCCGTCCTACTGGGCTCCTGTGTTTGGAACCAACATTTACGCAGATGTGAGTATCCTGGCCCTTCGGTGACCACTTCTCAAAACCGCATTCCAAGGTCTGGACACCAGAAACCTGAGATCCCATTTCTGTGCCTTTAGCTAAATTTCGACCACCATTTCTGCTACCATTTTCGTAGTCTGTACATTTACGGGAATGTCTGTACTTCCACCTGTCTGTGCTAGTGAATACAGATGCAGGTGTAGCTCGACTTACACACATGACTTGAGGGTTTGGTCAATGGAATCCCGCTTCCCCAGTGACATGCTTTTTACGTGTGAAGGACTCCGTGCATCATAGCCTTCATTTCTCCAGATATTTAATAACCTTTCTGGCTCCCCTGATGCATTTATAGATATTGGTCCACTCTTCTCACTGCATTTCTTTTTGTCTATGTACACACCGAGCTAGAAGCACACAGAAGAAAATATAAACTATCCCCAACTTACTGCTGGTTAATAACTACTCTTATTATGTTGGAGTCTGTTCTTCCATTTTCCCTTCCGAACTCTAGCAAGGAAGTCTCAGCCTGATTTTCTTTAAGTGAATCCTACAGAAGGTAGTCTGTTCTCTCCAGTTGCCCAGGGTTGGAGACATGGTGACCCAGAAGATGTGACTGTGGTCACAGCTCTGCCCAGTAGGCTGTTTCACCTTCTTGCCAAGTTGTCTCCCTCTCCATAGAATGAGCCAGAGCTGGGATTTTCTAATCCAGGGAACCTTCCAGATCTAGTCCAGGGAATCTTCCATGACTAGATTGGCATCACTCATCCCCAGCTAACATTTTTACTCATCCTTTTCTCATCTACATTTTTATGGTTCTCCCGCTTTTACCACCACACATTTGCTTCCATCTGCCTTCATTTATTCTGGATTCTTGTAAATATGAGGTCACTGACTTCTGCAGACCTTCATGACTAACCTCCCACCACCCCATCTTTTTTTCTTTCCCTTTTAAGTGAGTCTTGTTTCTCCTTGAAAACTGTTCAGCCGAAATTGAATTCTAAAAGTTTAATGAAGGGATAAAATAGTGTATATCAAATGTTATACTAAATGTTTGAACCAAAATCTGCTAAAGACAGAGTCTTTGATTTTCAAATGCTTTAAATAACATAATTCATTATATAATGGCACAAAAGGTATGATTTGTGAAGGTATGAAAATCAAGTCTATATGCTCCAAACAACGTAACAGCTAAACATATAAAGCCAAAAAAATGATTAGAAATGCAAGGAGAACTTGATGAAAATTTAGTAATAGTGTAAGGCTACCTTTTACTGTGTTTTAGTTTTTCTAAACTCTCTAGTTTTTGTTATCCCCATCTTACAGAGAAGGAGAGTGAGGCTTGTAATAACCTGCCTGAAATCACACAGCTAGTACGTAGCAAAGGTGAGATGCAAATGAGGGTGTGTCTTGCTTTAGGGTCTGTTCTTTCCCTACTCTGTTCTGCCTTGCTTGAATGAACCCACACTCATAAGTATACAGGTGTGAACAGGCTCGTTTGTAAAAACCTGTACACAGTCCTTAACTAACTTATTCACTAGGGCTTTAAACTTTTGGAACCATTGTGCTCATGACAGGGCTGGGCACACAAAAATTGTTCAATTAATGTTTGTTTAAGGTATGCGTAAACACAAAACTGCGATAGTTAGTGCTTAAACAGCTCTTCAGAAAATAAAAGAAGGAAGGACAAGAGGCAGAAAGGGAAAGCTTCCTCCGTTTCAGAGGTTCTTTTCTGGCCTTGGTTTCTAGGTCACTCTGTATTCTGGGAAATGATGATGCCTTTTGGAAAATGTCTGTTTAGCTAAGAAATTTATTTTGGGAGAGTTGTCTCCAGACCTTCGAAGGGCCTAATAGTGCCTGCAGTTCCTGCTCACTGCGTTCCTTGGCAGACCCCGCACTTTGTGGTGAGCTGCAGGCAGGAGAAGCATCAGGGTGTAGCCCAGCAAACTAAGTCTGGGTCAGAAGATGCAAATTGAAGCCCCAGCTGTGACATTTACCAGTTGTGGGATGGTGGACAAGCCTTTCCTGCTCTGAACTTCAGTTTTCTTATCTGTCCTGTCTCCCTTGGTGGCTGGATAAATTCTTACATTGGTGCATGCATCAGAATCCCCTGGAGGGCTTGTTCAAACAG